CTTCCTGCCTACCGGACACTGTCACCCCCTTCCTGCCTACTGGACACTTCTACCCCCTTCCTGCCTACAGGACACTGTCACCCCCTTCCTGCCTACAGGACACTTCTACCCCCTTCCTGCCTACCGGCACTGTCACCCCCTTCCTGCCTACAGGGCACTTCTACCCCCTTCCTATCAGGCACTGTCACCCCCTTCCTGCCTACAGGACACTGTCACCCCCTTCCTGCCTACCGGACACGTCTACCCCCTTCCTGCCTACAGGGCACGTCTACCCCCTTCCTGCCTACCGGGCACTTCTACCCCCTTCCTGACTAGAGGACACTTCTACCCCTTCCTGCCTACCGGGCACTTCTACCCCCTCCCTGCCTCCCGGGCACTTTTACCCCCTCCCTGCCTACCAGACACTTCTACCCCCTTCCTGCCTACCGGACACTTCTAAACCCTCCCTGCCTCCGGAGCACTTATATCCCTTCCTGCCCAGGCCAATTCTCAGCTTTCAGCGCTGTCGCACTTTGAATGACAATTGCGCGGTCATGCAACACTGTACCCATATGAAATTTGTATCATTTTTTTCACACAAGTAGGGCTTTCTTTTGGTGGTATGTACTCCCCACTGGGGGTTTTGTTTTCTGCAAAAAAATTGAGAAACAAAAAAGTTTTTCTTTGTTTCTATTATAAAATTTTGTAAACAGGTAATTTTTCTCCTTTACTGATGTGTGTTGATGAGGCTGCACTGATGGGCACTGATAGGCAGCACTGATGAGGTGGCACGGATAGGAAGCACTGATAGGTGGCACTGACGACACTGGACATTGATGGGTGGCACTGCTGGGCAGCACTGCTGGACACAAGTGGGTGGCGCTGATGGGCACAGGTGGGCGGCATTGGCGGCATTGCTGGACACTGATTGGCAGCACTGATGGGAACTGATAGGCGACACTGAGGTGGCAGGGATAGGAAGCACTGATGATGTGGCACTGACGACACTGCTGAACACTGATGGGTGGCACTGCTGAGCAACACTGATGGGTGGCACTGATGGGCACAGGTGGGTGGCACTGGTGGTAGGCACTGATGAGGTGGCATGGATAGGCAGAACTGATGAGGCACTGATAGGCGGCACTGATGGGTGGCAATGACTGACGACACTGCTGGGTACAGGTGAGTGGCACTGCAGGGCACAGACGGGTGGCACTGATGGGTACAGGTGGGTGGTACTGATGGGCACTGATGATCGGTGCCAATCACTTCTCTGACAATTGCCGGTTCTCGGCAGTTCTCTCCTCATGCTGTGACAGTGCAAGGAAAGTGCAGCCGATAACCGGCAACTGTATGTACCCGGAGATCTCCTCTGTCATTGGACACGGCTGATCACATGGTAAAAGGTCGCTGTGATTGGGCGTTTACCGTGTCTCGTGATCAGCTGTGTGCGTAGGACACAGCAATCATCTGTGGCGCCGGGTGCACGCCGATGGGGGCGTGTTCTGGGAGGACGTCCATGGACTAGACAACCGCGCTGTAGTCGTCTTTTGGTCGGGAACTAGTCAATCTACGTTTGCAGTGGCAATTGTCGCTCCCCCCCCCCCCCACACTGTACACTCCCATATTACAGTCTTCATCATGTCCATGGATACGGGCAATCCTCTCTGCTGTGCCCAGTCTTGTGTCTCTTTCTGCCCCAAATGCCCAGTTGGTCAACTTCATCAAGACCAGATCCTTTGGCACAGCACCTCGGCGATTTCGTCTGTTATAGATCTCAAAGTCTGGAACTCGGGGCCCATGGACCCCAACAGGCCCCACTTTTATGGTGCGGGAGTGAGCTTCCTTTCCAGACGTAGTCTTATGCAGGCCATAGATGGGTCAAATCCCGAACGAATTTCCTTTCGAAAATCGGAAATTTAGTGCGTTTTCTAACCCGATGGCGCCACCATTGATTTCGAAGTTCAACCAACCAAGCCTTCAATTTCTCCTCGTGTTGCTACAGAAAAGAATTTTCATGGCCAAGAATTTTCTTTGTACCTCCAAGTCCCAGCTTTATATTTCTCGCACGGTTCTCCCATCGTTGATTCAAAATTCATTAATTTTCCAAAAATTTCCAACATGCCCGATCGCTCAAATTTGATGGTCGTATGAAAATTGGCCATTTCTGTGACCCACCAATGGTACGAAATTGGAAAAAAATCACTCAAATTTGATTCATACGAAAATCGGCCTTTTCTGTGACCCACCAATGGTGCGAAATTGGAACAAATCACTCAAATTTGATGGTCGCATGAAGATTGGCCGTTTCTGTGACCCACCAATGGTGCGAAATTGGAACAAAAAGTCTTAGAAAACTCTTTCAGAATTCGACCCGTGTGTGGCCGGCTTTAGATTTCCTTGCCTAACCATTCCACCTTTCTGTGAATCATCCACTCTTTGGACTTCCATGTGAGCATCCAAATTTTCAGTCCTTTAACCCTTTCACGGCCAAGTTCGCCCGACGTATGGACCTCATGGTGAGGGGGGTAGGGCCTTACACACACTCATGTGTACATCTGACAAGCAGACTCATGCTTCCATTCACCCCCAATAATGCCCACACCTCCCCCATCATGTAGGCTTTGCCAAGCCCCATCTGTAGGCCCAGGACGGGCATAGTGGGTGCTGCCGGGCAGACGCACGTGACCTGCCCTCCCCTTTTTGCTGCTGACCCAGAAGCAACATATAGAACATCACTTCTGGGTCCCCGTGTCACTACGGCTGGGAAAGAATCGAATGTGCATGCAAGACGTTCTCATTAAAAAGAGAACCTGTCACCAAAAAATCATCACATTGGAGTGATATTTCCAGCACTGGACCTCCTCCGTAAAGCCAAACTGATGACCTATAGGGGGCTTTTAAAGCACAGGCATCAATCACAGGACCCGCGGGCCAAATCCGGCCCTCCAGGCCATTTCATGTGGCCCTTGCACCTGCAGGTACCCCCTTGTCTCTGCCCCCCCTTGTCTCAGCATTCGGCAGCAGAGAGGACCGTAGAACTCCTCTGCCAAATCCTGCACCTCTCAGTGACAGTGTAGTGACAGCACCCCCTCATCTCCGCCTCCCCTGGTCTCAGGATTCAGCAGACTCTGGTAACGGCCTCCACTCCTCCTCTGGTCCTCCTCCAGACCCAGCACTTTATGCTTTCCAGCTCTGCCCCCCAAAAAGGGTGCATGGGGATGTTAAGGAGGGTGTGGGATTCTTGACATTCTGATGTAATGGGGGGGTGGGGTACTCTGGACATCTAGTCTTACAGATACAACCAGCCCTTTGAGGGCCACCATAATGTTGATACGGCCCACCATGACATGGAGTCTGACACCCCTGCTTTAAAGTGTCGCCTATGGAAAATTTAGGGTATTGACGTTTGTTGCCATTTCACATTTAAGGTTTGACATGTTGGGTATCTATCTACTCGGTACAACCTCACCTTTTATATTTTACCCCCAAAAAAATGGGTGTGTCCGCTGGACACAGCGGAACAACGATCGCTGTACAGGACCTCTGTGCGAGGTCCCGATCATTTGATCAGATTGGCCAATCAGTAATCACATGAAGAGTAGTAAGCAAGATGTCACTTCCTGACATCATTGCTTACTACTTGTGAAGACTGTGAATGATCACCGAGATCACATGGTACAGGGCCATTCACAACAGCCTTGTACTATGTGACAAGCTGTGACCTATCACAGCTCACACAGTATTTCTCAATGGCTGCATTTTTGCAAATGAGAAATGATTGCAGCCTTTATGGGTGTAAAACCAATCAGTTAAAAAAATAAATAAATCTTCATCACCCCCCACAAGTAGAAGAGTGTCACTATGGTGACAGTGTGCTGCTAGGGTCACAGTATGTTAAAAAAAAAAAAGATATAAAAAAAAAAAAAAAAAAAAAATGTAAAAAATTTTTTAAATTATAATTTTTGGTTATGAATTAATTTGGTTTTTTTTACTAAAAAGATAACTGAATACATTTTGGCCAAGATGTATGAAGAAAGATTATTTATTTGCAACATTTTATAAGAAAAACACTTTTTTTCAAAATTTTTGGACTTTTTAATTTATATTGCAAAAAAAAAAAAAATTTAAATCCCAGCGGTGAATAAATACTACCAAAATAAAGTTTTATCTGTCTCAAAAAAATGCTAAAAATTTCATACGGGTACAGTGTTGCATGACCACGCAATTGTCATTCAAAGTGTGATAGTGCTGAAAGCTGAAAATTGGCCTGGACTGGAAGGGGGGTGAAAGTGTCCGGACTGGAAAGGGGGTGAAAGTGTCCAGTGTCCAGACTGGAAGGGGGGTAAAAGTGTCCGGACTGGAAGTGGTTAGTAAAGAACACCCGACCTAATCAGCACTCCTGAATCCTGAAGATACGCCTATTGATACATTGTAACAAAACATATAAAACCATTGTATCAAAAAAAACAAGGAAGGAAGAAAAGAAAAAAAAGAGAGACAAAGTGGAATAAAAAGAGAAAAAAACTGGAATAAAAAGAGAAACAAAGAAAGAGAGAAAGGAATAGTGAATAAAAATTAGGAAAAAATTATAAATATAAAGTATTTTTTTTTTATTATTTTACTCAGACCAGGAAAGTTCGTTCTCCTCCATGTCCAATCTCAGATGACTGTAAACAGAGGACTTCTGGGGGTTACACTTCCGCCAATCAGAACAGGAATGTGGATCTACCTCCGTGTGCAACCTCACATGTGTGTTAAGACCGGACTTCGTTTGAAAACATTTATCGCATTTGGGACAGGAATACGGCTTCTCCCCGGTGTGTGATCTCAGGTGGCTGCGGAGGTTGGACTTCTCTGAAAAACGTTTCCCGCACTCAGGACAGGAATGCGGCTTTTCCCCCGTGTGCCATCTCAGATGGCTGTGAAGGTGCGAGTTCTCTGTAAACCGTTTCCCGCACTCAGGACAAGAGTATGGTTTCTCTCCCGTGTGCAATCTCCGATGATCAGAAAGAGAGCCCTTTTTGTGAAAAACATTTCCCGCACTCAGGACAGGAATACGGCTTTTCCCCAGTGTGGGACCTCTGATGTAAAATAAAAGGTGATTTTAGTGAGAACTTTTTCCCACACTCAGTACAGGAATACGGTTTCTCCCCCGTGTGCAATCTCTGATGCAAGGTGAGATTGGACTTCTGTGAAAAACATTTCCCGCACTCAGGACAGGAATATGGCCTCTCCCCTGTGTGAATTCTTTTATGTGCATCAAGAGTGGGTTTCAAACTGAAACATTTCCCACATTCAGGACAGGAATACGGCTTCTCACCTGTGTGAGATCTTTTATGTAGATTAAGACTAAATTTAGTGTGGAAACATTTCCCGCACTCAGTACATGAATATTGTTTCTCACCTGTATGAGATTTTTTATGCACACTAAGACTGCAGTTAAAACGGAAACACTTCCCGCACTCAGGACAGGAATATCGTTTCTCCCCCGTGTGTGATCTTTGATGTATGGAAAGGTTGGACTTATGTGAAAAACATTTCCGCACTCAGGGCAGGAATACGGCTTCTCCCCCGTGTGAGATCTTTTATGCACATTAAGATTATATTTGAACCGGAAACTCTTCCCGCACTCAGGACAGGAGAACTCTCATCCCTGTTGGGAAGGCCGGCCCGGTCCTGCACAGTCTGAGAGTCCTCAGGATACGAGGAATCCGATGGTCCATCTACACTGGGTGGTGCCGGATGGACATTGGAGGAAGCCGGGTTTTCTCCTGGACTATACTGTGTGATGTCCTCATCTTCTACTTTCCAGTCTGGAGACAAAGTGAGACAATCCTCTGAAGTTTTCCTCATCTCCCGGCCATGGACTAAAATACAAAGACAAAGAGGATTACTAGACAGGAGAGCCACACCAGAGGTCAGAGAGTGAGGATGGGGGGAGGACAACGAAGAGGAAGACTGGACTCATCCTTAAGACCACCATCATTGGGGTATTGGCTCTTCCCCCATCCTGAAGACCACCATCATTGGGGTATTGGTTCTTCCCACATCCTGAAGACCACCATCATTGGGGTATTGGCTCTTCCCCCATCCTGAAGACCACCATCATTGGGGTATTGGCTCCTCCCCCAACCTGATCCCGAAGACCACCATCATTGGGGTATTGGCTACGCCCCCCATTCTGAAGACCACTATCATTGGGGTATTGGCCCCTCCCCCATCCTGAAGACCACCATCATTGGGGTATTGGCTCCTCCCCCATTGTCACTTTTTGGTTGGAAGATGTGATCACATTATTATCACATGTAACAGTCTGTGCTCCAATCACATCATCCGATATAAAAGCTGGTAGGAAATGGGGGGAACAGAGGAAAAGACATATTATGTGTATAAGAGTGCTGAGGTCAATTATGTGGGGAGGGGGAGTGAGCAGAAGTCAGGACCATGAATGTACATACATGGAGTATATAGTGCAGGGGGGAGGGGAAATGGAAACATGGAGTATAAGTCAGGGGTCATGGTATGTGTACAACATGGAGTATATAGTGCAGGAGGAGTATGTACAACATGGAGTATATAGTGCAGGGGTCAGGAGTATGTAATGTACAACATGCAGTATATAGTGCAGGGGTCAGGAGTATGTAATGTACAACATGGAGTATATAGTGCAGGGGTCAGGAGTATGTAATGTACAACATGGAGTATATAGTGCAGGGGTCAGAAGTATGTAATGTACAACATGGAGTATATAGTGCAGGGGTCAGGAGTATGTAATGTACAACATGGAGTATAAGTGCAGGGGTCAGGGGTATGTAATGTACAACATGGAGTGATATAGTGCAGCCATCAGGAGTATGTAATGTACAACATGGAAATATAGTGCAGGGGTCAGCAGTATGTAATATGCAATATAAATATAACTATCATCCATCTTGCTTGAGGTGATTGTAGCCATATTAGTGCACTTGCGACAGGAATAATTGAGTCCTGTCTGTGATACTTTTTTTTTATTTGCACTAACATAGAATCTTCAGGACAAGCTTTCGGGGTATCGTCTGTACTGCTTCAACTTTGAAGAAGGTGAGAGACCCCAAAAGCTTGTCCAGAAAATTTTCTGTTAGTGCAAATAAAAAAAAAGTATCACAGACAGGACTCAATTATAAAGTGCAGGGGCCAGGAGTCATAATATTGGAGTTTAATAGTCAGTGGTGACGTTAATGTTTACCTGAGACAACCTGCAGAGGTCCCACCCCGCTGCCTCCCATCTCCTGAGACTGCACTCAGTGACTTGGGTCTGAGACTATACAGACATATCCCTCCACCCGGCATAGCCAGCACACAGAGCAAGGAACCCCGGGGGAATTACTATGTCAGAGATCTTGTTAGACCCGCGATGGGGCAGAAGGCCCAAGGTACATGCCCCGGGTGTCTACATTGAGGAACCCCTATGGTGAAAACCAATATTTTGCTGCCAGCTGAACCCCAGAATCTCCATAAATCCAGCCTAGAGACATAAATTGTGTCTGCAGCACAGAGAAGGAAGATTATCCGAGATAAATCCAGGAATACAGGACGGGGAACACAGCTCAGGAAAGTGATATCACCCCACCCTACTCTGCACCAATCAGTGAGCAGTATGGGTGGTGGAGGAATGGATTTCGTGTTCATGACCCACCTGTGATGAACTCTGTAGGAGTGTCCTCCTCTATAAATGTCCCCGTTATTCCATCCTCCTCCATAGACTGCTGATCATCCCTCACATACGCTCTCTTCTTCTGATTTCACCTCAACTTTTATATCCATCAGATCTTCACCCTAAACCAAGAAAATTATAAAAATGATCATCTCTAAAAAAAAGAATCTCCTGATATCACATATTGTAAACAAAATCCACACATCTCCATGAGTCCATGTTCTAGATGCTCCGTCCCACCAACCTTGTAACTGTGAGGGATGGTGTGATCTTCCTGTGTGGAATCCCGGGAATACAGAGGACGGGAACATCTCTCTGGTGGGTTCCTGGTATTAGGTGGCTCCATCATATCCTTGTGTCCTTCTGGAAACTCCTCCATCACTCCATACTCCTCATCCTCCTCTTTATACTCTTCTTTAACAACAATATTATCATCCCCGAGGATTCCACTCTGAATATATAATAAAACATTCATTGTAACAAACATGCCGTGTATAAATCACAACCACCAGTGATTGTTCCTCATCTACCTGATGGTGGTGAGGGATGGTGTGACCTTCCTGTGTGGAATCCCGGGAATACAGAGGACGGGGACATCTCTCTGGTGGGTTCCCATGGCTGGATCCACCTACCTGATGATGGTGAGGGTTGGTGTGACCTTCCTGTGTGGAATCCCGGGAATACAGAGGACGGGGACATCTCTCTGGTGGGTTCCCATGACTGGATACTCCAAAGACACAAACTATACACTGTACAGTTGAGGACTTTTGGATAAGCTATGGCCAGGTCTATACTTGAGACATTAGCAGTTTGCGCTAATGCAGAGCGGCACAGCAGTGCGATCTGTCACCGGCCGTGCACCTCGGACACGGCCGATGACAGATCCGAGTACCGGCTCCCGTTGCTGGTACCATGTGACCTGCTGTGACCAATCACAGAAGGTCACATGACAGTTGAATACAATGGATGGCTTAATTCATGATGCCATCCATTGTATACTAGTGCCTAGCTGTGAATGGTCACAGCTAATCACATGCACGTCATGTGATTAGCTGTGACCAAATCACAGCTAAGCACAAAAAAAAAAAAAAAAAAAAGAAGCTGAATGAATCAATTTCATTCAGTTAAATGCTTGCTTATAGCAAAGTAATTCTTTGCTATAAGCAAATTGTGTAAAAAAAAAAAAAACAAATACTGATCACTTCCTCAAAGTAGTACAATGTTACTATGGTAATTGTACTACTTTGGTCATAGTAAAATATGAAAAAAAAAAAAAATTTAATAAAAAATTAAATAAAAAAATTAAAAATAATTAAAAAAATATATATTTTTTTTTTTTTCATACTGTCACCAGTTCACCGCCATGCCAGTTATATGATGACGCTGTACTGCACTGGTGACAGTATGTAAAACAAAAAAATAGTGAAAATAATTTTTTAAATTTTTTCATTTTCCAAAAAATTATGACAAAAAAATACAACTTCAAAAAACTCTTATGAAGTACGTCGGACTGTCTACTCTGCAAAAAGGGGTCATTTGGGATATCTGTATTATTCTGACATTCTTGGACCTCAAGAAATTAGATTGGCTGTCAGTACTTCAGGATTGATCAATATTCAGATCTATACCATAGTTTGTGAACTCTATAACTTTCCTACAAACTAAAAAATACATCCTAATTTGGGTTATTTTCACCAAAGACATGTAGCCGAATACATCTCGGCCTAAATTTATGAAGAACAATTATTTATTTGTAAACTTTTATAACAGAAACAAAGAAAAATGTGTTTTTTTTTCAACATTTTTGGTCTTTTTTTGTTAATTTAGCAAAAAATAAAAACCCCAGTGGTGATTAAATACCACCAAAAGAAAGCTCTAGTTGTGTGAAGAAAATGATAAAATTTTAGTTTGGGTACAGTGTTGTATGACCGCGCAATTGTCATTCAAAGTGTGAGAGCGCTGAAACGTGAAAAATGGCCTGGGCAGGAAGGTGTAAAATTGCACGGTATTGAAACGGTTAAGCAGCACAGTGTCTCAAAGATCCTTTTCACAGGCCCAAGGACAGATGGCTGCCTTCCTCCATGATACCAGACCAAATCTTCAGTAGACAGCCCCTCAGTCAGTTATAGCAGGACCCAGGTCTCAGCATTCAGGCCCTCAAGAAGCACGGCAGAAATTGCCTAGGAGGGCAGCAGGACCCAGGTCTCAACATTCAGGCCCTCAAGAAGCAATCAAAAATCTCTCTGGTGGGTTCCCATGACTGGATTCACCTACCTGATGATGGTGAGGGATGGTGTGACCTTCCTGTGTGGAATCCTGGGAATACAGAGGACGGGGACATCTCTCTGGTGGGTTCTTGTAGCTGGATGACTCCACCATGGTGTCCTGGTACAGATCTTTGGGAATCTCTGACTCCTCTATCACCCCATCCTCATCCTCCTCCTCTTTTATCTCTTCTTTGACCTCAACTGTAGAATCTCTCAGGTTTCCACTCTGAATATATAATAAAATT